CTCCAAAACCACCAATTAGACCATGCAGCCCACCCCTGTCACTATGCTATATGCTCCTCCCTGGCAGCTCTTATGTCATTAAAAACTCTACTCAACACCCTCTAAGGACCACCGGTAACATATCAGCCTATCAGATGCTGATCGGTTGGAAAAGGTTACCTAAAAAAAAGGCGAGGGTCTAAGTTGCTAGCCTGAAATCGAAATCGAATACAACGGGATGAAAACTGCCGACGAACAGCAGCTAACTCCTGCCTATCCTCAAGCTGCAAAGAAGGTGGAAGGCCCCAACATTCATGAGCAATATGCGGTGCCCGGCAAACAGGTCTTGGTACACTACCAACTGCATCCAGTTGCTTCCAGCACCGCACAGATGATTGTCATAATGGTGGAGACCCCTTTTTGACGGAATCCCTGTAATTGCAGCGTATCTACTAACAAACTTCTCGTAGAGCCGAGTTGGATTTGATCCCTTTTTGAACAGCTTGGTAATTAATTTATTGTTATAGGCAACTTCAACGCAAAACATAAGATATGAGGAAAGAACAGAGGTGACAGAAGAGGCACTACGCTGCATGAAGCGCTGTCTAACTGCTCAGCCGAGCTCCTGGCGGACCAACGGAGAAAGTATTCCTTCGTGTATGGATATCTTAGTACATAAACGATCTAGCGGGTTGGGATCCGTCCAACCACTTGCCACTCCTTGCAAAAGTCTCTATGTGTGTTCAAACGACCCCAAGAAAGCGCAGGCTTGTCCCCCCTGGACCGGACATTCAACATTTTACGGCTGATCTTAATGGCATGAATAATTTAAGAACTCAGATCCTGACAGCCGAGGCTGCCGACACTGCAGCTCAAACCCTATTGGGCCTAGTACATATCGCGACTGCCAACGCTGCCCCAGTACAAATGTACCTGACACATACAAGCCAGCACATGATCCACCTATCGTTGGAGGCTTTTTTCTTATATGATTGGACGCTTGACGCCTTGGCCTGCAAAATTTGGAATACCTTAATTATTAATAATAATAATTTGTGTCGGGAACCAGCACCTCTTGAGGAAGCACAATTCCTCCCAGTTAGAAGTTTCATCCTAGTTAAGGACTGACTACGACGACGTCCGATTCACTGCGAGAGAGCCCTTATGGCATATACTACAACAAAACTAGCTATTATCCTACACTGGATAATAGAGACATTCCCCGCAACAACTTGCAGATATTGTAGGCACTTGTGACATGAAGTGACTTCAATGATAATGAGTACAGAATGCGTAAAATAAACTTGTATATAAAAGACTAGCTATATTCGGAGTACCAAAGGCTTACAGGCTTTGCTGATATGTGAGAAGAATTGTAAAGTCGTTCCCCACAAAACCTCATTTTTTGAATGATTCTTTCATGTGATTTATATGATTTTAGTGCTTAATTATATACATATGCGGAGATTCGGAGATTTCTTCTATTCGTGCTTTACACAATTCGCGACAGTACAATTTAAAAACTGATAAAATTAGATTTTGACTTACATTTTACATGCTTTAATGGCAAAGAAATATTGTAACTAATATTGCGCTACATCGAGGTATCGTTTTTTATATGTTAAAAAAATGTTCACTTAAAACATATCACTAGTGTTTCGCTGGTCGAAGATCAAGATAGGAGAGACGACTAATTTCAAGTTTACATGGAGGAGAATGAATCTGCTCCGTGGGTCAAGGTTAATAAATTGACTACCCCATAAAATAAGTTGACTCTCATATAAATTGTTGTATGACCGATTGAATAAAATCTTCTGTATTGCTATTTTTATATTTATCGTAGGCTGCAAACCCACAACTGAAGATATCCTAGATCTAACCAACAGATTGGTTTTGATAAACTCCCCGGGCACAACTTCAAAAAATTTTGACTCCCCTAAAAAATTAATTAAGAATTTCTTTAGCCTTAAAATGATTAGCTTAATGTCAACCTCAACTCTGTCAGTGAAATACTGATCACTCACAAGATATTCTCCTTACCTCCTCTAAGGCCAGCACAGTACATAAATCCTATCACTCTAAACGAAGAGTTCCCCTGGGGTAATTCAAAATTCACTAACCAAGGCTCTTCCACAAAACAAAATCCAACAAAGATTCTTTCGATTGAGCTGGTCTGCAGAAACGACAAATGGCTACTACACAAGAACAACGAGAAATACTATAACTATTTTATTTTATTTGAATTTTTTTGTTTCAAGTTCACTTTTCAGGCTCTACAATAGATTTTGACAATCTTTTTGACAAATGAGTTGATATATTTACTGACAGAAGCGTGTAACCCTTCACACCATACAAAACCGCAACATAAGCGCCTGTCAGAAACAATTGTTTCTCCAGCGCTCCCATGCACTTGCTGTCTGAAATACGATCCTCTAAAAATTATTCAATATGCTTTGACACAACTCAACGAAATGAGCAACGACAGTTATAAATCTTGAATGTTGATTCAGAAAATGTTGCACTATCGAGCTTTTTCTTTCTCACAAGAAATAATAGACCTGATTTTATTTCTGATTTTTATATTCATATATCTTGTAAATTACGAGTTGCAAAAATACCCGAATTGGTCTGTGCTTATTATTTAATAAAAATAATTTTTCAAAGGCAAGCGACCCCGAATTGGTACTTGACGATTGCAACGTATTGACAATTAAATTATTTTTTATAATTATTAATAATGCAAGTTGCCGATGTGTACAAAATGCACCAAACGAACGATGTTAACTAACTCGATCCGAAGCCGTCGACAGAATCTTGACCAGCTCCAGGTGATCTTCTTTAGTCTCGAAGAAAACGAAGACTATGACAGCTATGTGACATTTGACTGGAGAGACATCAAAGACTCGACAAGCAGTCAAACGTTCCTTAGGAAGTTCAGCCTTTATATGCTCTACTCATCGAGGCTTGGCCTTAAAGCATCTGTCACATTTTTCCAACCATCATGGATACGGTCATCTTTCACCAATCGGCCAATACTACACCCGAATATGAGCCATAAGTGCCCATGGACCGTGAATGTCCCGATTGTGAAATCTTGGGGTGAGTGAATCTCTGGTGGGATGGCATCGCGGAAGAATTTTTGGATGGCAAGCTTCTTGGGCGATCATCTACTCTAAGGTTACCTAAGTTATCCAAAAAACGGTTAAAAGAGTTGTTGAGCCATCCAACTATATGATCACAGCTGGATGACTCAACAACTCTTCTCGATCGCAGTGACTTAATATCTTCCCTCAGGTGAGCTCTCTGGAGGAGAAGTAGTAAAAGTTGCTTGATTTTGCGTGAGAATTTGTAAATATATCCGAATATTCGGTGCATTGTTTCAAAAGAGTTAACGTACTAACTAGTAGCACGGCAAGAAGCCACCCGGGCAAATTTATTTTAACATAGAAATTTTTTGTCGATGAACCAAAAGTGGGAACATAGTGCCATTCTTTGCCATTAGTTAGCTCATTAACTGCTGTGACACGACTAACTGCATAACGATAAGTCACATAAGCTTATTGCGCTTGCAATGCTCGGTCTTTATCTAGGAAAGACATACAGAGAAATTAGCCAAGCAGAAAAATTTTCCATTGAAGAGTTCAATACTAAATATCTGTCATGAGATTAGATAGTAACACGGCGCCTCAAAGCTGGCTGAAAATCGTCGAAAAATGACATAGACAGAAGCGCCATACTCTTCGATGCTGGCCATGAACTTTTTACTCTGCTGCAGGTATTGACTCGAGACGAGGTAATTTAAGGGTCAGGTACCGTCGAAATGCATGTTGGAATGACTTCCCAAGCGATTCCAAACCTCGCTTGAAAGGTATACGACCAGAATATTGAAGTGGTGGGTGTAGTTTCCAAGCAGGGCTCTATCTCCAAAAATCGTCGCTCCAATTTTTTCAGCACGTTCTTCAGAACTTGACTGAAAGTTGCCTAAAGTAGGCTTTGCAGTCAACCTGGTCCCACGCAAATCCGAATCAAGCCTTGTTTTCTGAAGAAGCTCATAAGAAAGACTAGCTCCAAGCAGCTAGTCCACGTCCTGTGGCTTAAGAAAAGACGGATCTGCAAGTCGTATGTTAACGGGAATGGTCCAATGGTTGACTATCAGGAATGGTAGGCGTTCTCAGAGACTTGAAACTGTAAAGTATACTCGACTATGTCGTACGCAGGCTGAGGTCTTGTGCTTCTTTTATGATGCTGGCTAGACGTCAAAAGATGAATCAGAAAACCGGAATCCAAGAGGGCACAATGAGCTATTTTTCACAATCACCATGGTAGTAGCTAAAAAGACAACATCAGATCAAAAAAAAAAAAGCCGGAAACAAGAGAGATTGATGTAGATGGTGTCGACTTAGAGAAAAAATTGACGAAAAATGAGTAGAGGCAGTCAGGTGGCTAGACGGAAAATTAGTGTTATTAAAAGGCAGCTGAGAATGATGCTTTGCTCTGCAGCTTCGAAAGCATACAGAGCTGCATGAAGTTGAAGAGAGGGCTCTTTAGACAATCCAATGAAAGTCGTTTTGCTTCCGTAATCAAGTTTCCAAACCGAAAACAATTAAATATCCCATAACCAGGGGTGGCAAAAATAACGCAGACATTAGCGTCGTGGTTGCTGACGATATACTTGAGTTAAATGATCTAGTTTTTCCCACCTGATGGCTAAAGGTATAGGTTGCCATAGCAAAACTTACAGTTTCCATGGTTCGACGTCTCTGCTCCCGAAACTTAGCCGTATGCTTCCACGGTGGTATCAAGTTAACGAACAACGAGTCGCCTAGCTTCTCTTCCCATTGTATTGTGATGTTGGGTCCAGCTTTTCAGAATAATCTGCACAATGATGCATCCAGCGATTTTTTTGGTGTTGCCCATGCTGGTGAGACAACTCCCTTAGCGCCACAGCTGAACCACCTGCCACTCTCTTGAGCCCCAATATTTCAAATATGTGTGTCCAAAAATTAAGTGCTATGGCATTATTATTGTTTGTTATTTTCAGTGATCGGCTGATCGGTGTCTATTTGCAACGAAAACGAAATAACACTTGTCTTTTATTAATTCAAGCTTAAAAATTATTACAGGAGAGGCTTTGTCAAATTTTTGCTGCTTTATATGAGCAAACGATAATTGCAACGATTAAAAGTGATCTTCAGATAAATTAATTGATGCTGTTGTGTGTGTGACACAACGTTGCTGCACTATAAGAGTTGACATTGGTGGTATTCTTAATTTAAATAATTTTATTTCAACTTAAACTGATTCAACATTCCGCCCCCGTTGAAGGAGTAAGGGCTTAAGCTATTGGTAGCACGGTCTCCTTATGTATTGGCCTCTTGACGATTATACTTGGAATGCGAGTCTCCGCCACGCACACTTTACCATCTTCGCCGAATGTGGTTGGCACGCCCTGTTGATCATATGGAATGGATACATTTAGCAATCTTCCACCGAAGCCCGATGATTTTAAATTTGCTTACATTTTCTACAATTTCATGCACAAATTAATATGAGATGCTAAGGTTTAGGATTTCTATAATTGGACCAATTAGTGACCAAGCTCAGACATTTGCACCAATTTTAGATAGGCGAGTCGCAGCGCTCTGGATATCATCCCCCCAATAGATTCCAGCTTAAGCTCGGTGGTCTCATTTCCCATCATACACAACATAACCCACAGCTACGTGAATCTCTTCATCCTCCATTTTGGTTTTGTATGTATGCATGTACCTACAAAGGTTCATATAGTCCGCTTAAAATAATACACATATGTATATACACACATATACCAAAGTAAAAAAAAAAACAGAAAAGGAAAAGAAAGGAAAAGAGACGAATCAGTTAACGAAATACCCGCTGCAAAGCTATGCCTAAGAGTAGGTCATGACTTTCAACCTTTCATTTTAGTTTTGGTAGTAGATCGACCATTTTTGTAGTAGAATTCACCCCTTCGAATAAAGAATAATCGTGTATTATTTTATTTTTTATTAAACATAACACACAAAAATAAATAAAAAACAAGGAAAAGCACCGATAAAGCGAACATAATAGGTTATGTTTGTATAATTTTATGTCTTATATGCTTATATTTCCTTTAGCAGTTACCCTTTAGCGTTTAAAAATATATTAAAATGCGTCAGTGTCCTCATATATTCGATCCAATAAGAAATGCAAGCCTAACTGCCACGCAATTTAACTTTGAAAGCTTCAATAGCTAACCACGCTTTTTTCTAAAGATACCCTGGAATAAAAATACCCTGGAGGAAAAAAGTTATTTGTTCGCTACAACTGTTTCTACTTCGTGCAAGAAATGTTATATTTTTCTATCAACAACGTTACATAAATAAATTCACGATTCGCAATAAGACTACTGTAAAATATTTAAATACAGTGCCAGTCTTTCCACGAGTAAATATTATTAATAAAGATCCGCATGGATCCGCACATCATTTGTTTTTTATTTTTATTTTTCTCCCTGCTAGAAAAAAAATTAAGAATTAAAAAACAATAGTTACAAACAAACGACCCCATGGCGCAGAAATTCATTCGTCAATCTAGCAGCTGCCGAAAAACTCAGCAACTTCCCCTACTAACATGGCCACTACTGTCGATCGGCTCGATGGAAGCCAAATTTTTACCAGGAACACGAAGACATGCTCGGCAGTAGCGCCTACCGGACAGCGCCTCCACCTCGCGGCCAGGCGGTACCCATCTATTCTCGACTTGGTACCTGCAACAGCATGGCGCTGTCAGCACAACGACAGCAAAAACCACTACAACCACAGCGTTACTCAGTTACCGGCTGCAGCACATCTGCCTCAACAGGCCCAGCCGCTCTAGAGCCCATCGGGACCCGCCCCAAAGCCGCCAATCCGACCTTGCAGTCCACCTCATCTGGCAGCCAAAGTTCCTTATTGGCAGCTGCTTCTTGTGCCACAAACCCACAAACGCCTTTGCCTACGTCAGCCTTCCAGGCGCCATTGGTAATTTGGCAAATTGGACTACATTGTTGGCGAAAGCCGCAACCGCGACACCAGCTGCGCAGGAGCCAAGCCCATAACTTCTATTTACGGCTTCGACGAATAACAAATATGCTCCCCATGAGGCTCAGGAAAATGCCTCTGTCATCAATGACGATGAGAAGAACACTGCCGTCGAAGCCCCCCCAGCCCCAGTCCAACAGCAAGCAGCGAAGAAGATTTTCAAACCCAGGCCGATAGCATTCCTTAGACTCAGCAATATTGTCGCAATGGAGGAAACCATAGATCAGGCAGTGAGCCCAGACGCCTACGCGTTCAAGTTCTCTCCCTCTGGCTATCTGAGAATATACGCCAAACATGCCGACACCCACAGAGCAATTGTCCGCAAGCTCACTGAAGTGAGAGTGCAATTTACCATCTTCTGCCCAAAGGAAGACAGACCATACCGCGTCGTGGTTAAAAATCTAGCCGCTTCTACTTCCAGAAGCCAGATTGAAACTGCCTTCACATCGCACGGCCACACTGTGACGAACTTATTGAACCCGGTGCCAGTTAGCCTACAAGGGAAGACAGTGCAGACTTCACTTACGACTCGCCAAGTCGCAACATCTGGTTTGCTGATCTCAAGCAGGCACCCAACAACAGGGAAGCGCTGCGACTCAACAAGGTTGACCGTCATCGGGTCATTATTGAGCTCCCGAGAAAGAATAACAGCATACAGTGTTTCCGCTGCTTCGAGTTCGACCACAACAAAAACTACTGTCTCAGTCCCATTGCACAAATACTGAGCAACGCCAGGCCAAAACAGTAGCACATCTGCGATGCTCCAACTGCGAGGAAAATCATGCTGCCTCCTAAAAAGGATGCAAAAGCTATCACGTGAGTCTAAATGCCAGGCAGCTGGCCATCCGTGTCTCCCCTCCTACACGATATAGCCATCCTCAACATGATCGAAGAACCAGCCAACAGTTCGTACCCTCTCGAATTGTACAACAGGGACTGTCATATGCTACCAAGGTCAGGAAGCTGCTTATCGTGAAAAGAAATGCCAAAGACACCGTCATGGAGGAAGCAACAGCTGTTGACGTGAACTCGAATTTCATGCTTTGGAAGCTCACCAGGCAGTATAAACGGCATGCTGCACTAAAGTTTCCCATCCATCATGCCAATGGCACCTGAGCCAGATCGCCAGGCAACAAAGAGTCGTGCAAACTGTGCAGGAGCCCTTCCAAATGTCCCTCCCTGTGACACCAATCACAGTACACGAAGTTAAGCAGGAGATCAAGAGTCTTAAAAACTGCAAAGCCCCCGGCGAAGACGGTTTTGATAACCGGTCAATTAAACTACTACCCTACAAAGCGGGGATTTTTCTTGTCTCCATTTTTAATGCACCACTTCGACTAGACCACTTTCCAGCGGCCTGGAAGAAGACGCAAATCATTATGCTGTACAAAAGCGGAAAGCCTCCCAACCAGCTGGAATCTTATCGCCCTATCAGCCTCCAGCCTGCATTTGGGAAAATTTTGGAGAGATGTATTCTTTGAAGGATCCTGGAAAGTACGGAGATATAACATGCTATCCCGAAGTTCCAGTTTGGATTCCGACTCAGGCACGGTACACGTGAGCAACTCCATCGGGTTGTTAACGTCATACGAGACGGTTTCCACAGAAGTATCCAGTAAGCTGTTGACCGGGTGTGGCACGCAGAGCAAGGACAAGGACAAACTAAATCCGCAGCTATTTAGCATCATTGCGAGCTTCTTAAGTGAAAGAAAATTTCAAGTGGTGCAGGATGGCGTAGCCTCTCAAACCAAACCCATAAAAGTTGGGGGTTCTGCAATGCAGCGTTTTGGGTCCCACTTTATACAGCGTGTTTACACATGACGTGTCCACTGCAAAGCTAGCACACGGAAAATTCGGCAGGATCTTCTGGTGGCCGGCAATCCTTGCGAAGAACAAATATGTGTACGTGGCAACTAACTTCTTGCAGGAGTATCTCAAGCAATTTGAAAACTGGGCTTGTGGATGGAACATCGCAGTAAGCCCAGAAAAATGTGTCACGGTTACCCATTCTCTACGCAAGGACTCTTACCCTGGACTCTTTCTTCATGGCGAACTTCTTGAGCAAAATCGTGAACACAAGTACCTAGGACTCACTCTAGACAGACGACTTACATTAAGTAAGCACGTCACGTTAGTTTCAAGCAACATCAAGTCCAAGATAAGGTGAATGAGCTGGCTCCTCAACTCCAACAATGCCTTTGCCCCTGTGTGGCGCTATGGGCTCCAAGTCTATGGTATATCTGCAAAAACACAACTGAACAAAATTCGCATCATTCGGGCCAAGACTTTGCACAAAATAACTGAAACCGAACGTTATATTCGCCGTATCAATGGTAGGCGACGTAGTCAACAGCCAAGCAGCGGGCTACTCAATAAAGGTCCACAACCATCCTAAAGTCCTGGCAAGGAACCTGCTAAGCAGGCGAAGAAGAAGGCGACTGAAGAGAACCTACCCATCGTTATATGTAGGTCACTCAAACTCTATTAAATACCACTAAATAAGTTTCTGTTTATATATGTACATCTCTCTTGTTCTGTACATCTCTCTTGTTCGCCCTATCCTTGAATACTGCTCTTGCATCTGGTCTCCACAGTATATCAACAGCCAGGATCGTATTGAATCTGTTCAGAAGCAATTTCTGCTTTTTGCCTTACGAGGTTTAAATTGGGACCCTAATCTTCGGTTGCCGTCCTACTCCAGCAGACTGCTTCTTCTCAACCTTCCATCGTTAATCAACCGTAGGACAATTCTCGGTGTTGTCCTTCTACATAAGTTGATTATTGGCGACATTGATTCTCCTTTTCTGCTAGGGCGTCTTCAATTCTCTGTTCCGGCTAGACCAACCAGAAATTATCGCCCCTTATTACTATCTACGTGCACAACTGATTACGCTATGCACAATTCTTTTCGCGTGCTATGTAAAAATAATAATAGTTTGCATCACGTTTTCTCTACCGAACTGTCTCTACCCCTAATAAAATCGTTGCTTTCAGGATACCTTCGGGAAGTCGCTGACCATTCCCAGCTATGAGCAGGGGCCGGACAGGCTGAAAAATTTTCCCCCACCGGGTCGGTGATTTCCCATTACTTTTCTCTTTGTCCTATCCACTTAACACTCTTTAACTAACTTACATTGCTTTACTTTATTAACAATTTTCTTACTTTCTTTTTTCCTATTTATTGTATTTTCTTTATTAATATAGGAAATTAAGATTATTTTTAATTTCACTTGAGATCACTTTTTTCCTACTTACAACCTTCTGCTTAGATGTAGGCTCTAATAGCGTCACTGACAAAATTAGCTGTGAAAAGGGGCACAGCTGGCCGGACTGGCAAATAAAACACCTCCATCGGTCGGTGATGCTATTTAGAAAATTGTATCCTTTAACTAGGCTTTTAGCATATAATTATATTGTACAATCTTTTGAATAATGAGGAAGACACTCGTTTTGTCGACCATTAAAAATAAATAAATAAAAAAAAAAATGAGTACATGTATAATCTGTTAAAATAATTGGTAATCCACAATTGTCACTAAGCTAAGTGATTATTTCATTCTAATAAAAATAACAAAAATATATAAATTTAGTACAATTTAGAAAATTATTATTACTTTCTTGGTAATGAATAATAATGTTCAGAAATAAAATGTCTATAATGAATTTTGAATAAGATACCGTTTTAATCCGAAAATCATGTCACATCAGAGTACGGCGTCGCTGAAAGAATAACGCCATAGCATGTCAAAGGGGTCATCATACACGTATGAAAGGTGAGCCGCCTGGTGACCATGGCCACGGTATCCCAACATGGGGTGGCCATATCTTTCCAAATCTCAGAATTCCCAGAATTCTTCCTTCAAAACAGTACTCGACTAACTATTTTAAATAATTAAAAGATCATGCAAGAAGAATTTTGG